GCGGGCCTACGCAACTGCATGCATGCTTTCCTGATGAAGAAACTCTACGTAGACCGCACAAAACAACACACGACAGGTGCTGCACACATGGCGCTCGCCAGCCAGCCAGCCAGCCAGCTAACAAAAAACACTACCACTGTTCAATGGCGGCTAACAAACAAAACAACCAAACTTAAATCCCGCACCGCGCGAGTAGAGAAATAAAAGCAGCAGTGAACAGAAGCATTCGCAAGCAGCCACGGCGCAGTGTGTAGCAAGAGAAAAACACAATTCCTATTGTGTCCTTTATAATATTACATACACATATTACTACCAACACAATCATCGTCGGTAAAGAGAAATAATAATATAATACTCCTTTGTGCACTAGACCTTGAATTACAGGTTGATATGATCGGAGTTATTAAAAAATATAGCACACAACAAACCCTGATATGATATATATTTCACTTATATCAGTAGGACAGAGAATATAATATAATCTATTATGGGAAACGAAAAAGAAGAACAAGAATGTAAAATACCGATGAGCATATAGAAAAAAGAAGATATATTATCGAACTCAAGAAACAGTCGCTGCGAGTTGTAAGCGCGATATGTGAAACAAGCGGTAAAAATAAAGTAAAGGCGTAAGATAAGTATAAGAGGTTACTGGTGAGTGACAATTATGATAGTTAAATATAGGGCAGCGTTACACAGTATAAAAGGTATTTAGAAAGGTCGAAATTATAGACGACGTAAATAGGGGTGAGCGGTCAATTATTTAGCCTGTCCCTAGCAGACGACAGCGACAACTAAAAGGCGCGAACACGAGACGGGCAGCGAACGGCGTCCGTAATACGGCTGTAATTCGAAACCGACAGAAAACAAATTGCGCCGAAGATGTACAACTGTTCGGTGGCGACCGTGACGATAGCGCGCCTGTGCGTGGTATGAGGAACACCCGCAACAACAGCAGCCACAGCAGGGTCAGCAGCACACTACTAGTAAGTAGTAGCAACAGCAGCAACACCAACAAGCAGCAGCAGCAACTAGCAGAGCACTAGTATAGCAGGCAAGCAGCAACAGCCAGCACAGCAGCACTAGTATAGGCAGCAGCAGCACTACAGGCACAGCAACATCAGCCACTAGAGAGCACAGCAGCACAGCAGCAGCAAGCAGCAGCACGCAGCACTCAGTATATTGTGTGAGCGTTCGTGCGTGCGTGCGTGCGTTTGTGGTAGCTATATATATTTGTGTAGGTATATTAAGCTCTAATATATATATATAATATATAATATTAAAATATATATATATAATAATATATTGTGTGCTGTGTGTGTATATGTGTATGTGGGTGACGTTGTGTGGTGTGTGTGTGTGTGTGGTGGTGTGTGTTGTGTGTGTGTGTTGTGGTGTTGGTGCGCGTGCGGCGCGTGTGTGGTTTGTGTGAATATATATATATATATATATATATACGCCATGCAGACATGTGCCGATGGTTAGAAACGATGCAAGCCTGAGGGCGGAAATAAACCTTTAGTAAAGCGTTGCACGTTAGAGTACACCTGTAATTTTGATGTGTTGGTGTAAAGTGTCACAAAGCATACAATCATGCAAAGTCATGAAATTGTACTATAGGATTACTACTAGGATAATAGGATAACACTACTAGGATTAGTGTTAATCAGGGATTTTCACATAGACCACACCACGTGATATTCCCACGTGAACTGTGGGTAACCGTTGTGCGACCGAAAAACAAGTGAACATCGGGCATGCACACGCCATATGTAACGCACGTGAACATCACGCATACATCAGACTTTAGAATTTATAATCAGACTTTAGGATGATATAAATCGACGGCAAACAGAAACTAGACACGAACTAGTAACGCACTCACTGTGAAGTGACAGCTCGAAGAACTTGTCTTATTATAACGAATAAATATGTGTGAAAATTCAAGATCTTTTACTCTTGATGCAACAGCTCTTTCAGCTCTTTAGCAACAATTACCCGAAATTCGACGACGCTAAACTAGCAACGCCAGAGCACAGGTGAAGAAGAGCACAGGCCATGGTTTATCTGTCTCCGGTTATATTAGCAGTATAAGCACAGACTAAGGAACACATGGCACACTACGCCAAGATAGTGTAATGCATGCATGGTGTAGCTGCCCAACGAAACGAGCGGTATATTGCAAAGCTTGCTACTGTGGCAAACTATCATAATTTTTACATTGAAACATCTTTGTTATTAATTTCAACATTCCGAATATTTGACAGTAGATACGTAATTTAATAAAAGGAAATTTACGTTATTAAGTTGCCCTTGCTTGAGTAAATGAGAGAGAAAGAATCTTTACTTGCAAAATTATCATCAATACTGGATTTAGTCAGATAGTTTTCTTTTTTTACAAAAAAATAATTAAGCAGATATAATTTCCCAATTTTTCATTCAAATTCCAATAATAACATGTGCTACTAAGAAGCTTAATTAACGCAGAATTGAATTTCGGAACACTTGTAATTTGCTTCTTAGCCACACATGTAATTATTGGAATTTACATTATATATATATATATATATATATATATATAGCTGTGTGTGAGGAACCTAAAGATCGACAAATTTGATTTATTCTTGAATCAGAGCAATTCGTCATTGCAATGCAGGAACTACAATGACACCCCGCTTATTCCAATCTTAGTTAACCGCACTTTTCGCCAGGAGCAGCACCATCGGACCGCTTAACAAGCAGGGTAGGCTTATTCATGTCTGTGTATTCGTTAGTCTGCGGTATAAGTATAGCGACCGCACTGTCTGTCAATCAAGATGAAGCGTGAGAGATGAACACTGAAGGCCAGGACACTAACGAAGAAAGAATGTACGTGTCCGATTATTAACGTAATTAGAACAACTAGTCACACAGAGACTAGACAACTGTAGCAACTATAGTCAACCACGAACATTTATCGATGAAAGCTAATTATATAGCGGCCTGCAAAAATGCGCTCTCGCTTTATCTATTTACTGAGAGAAAATAGACGCGGTAATTCTAATTATATCCAGGGCAGCGAGGATACGGAGCGCTATATCGATTAACTACGCCCGGCACAAGTTAGGCGGGTCGAACTCGCTATTTACCGTGGGGCCGGACAACGAAGATATATGGGAGAAGAGGAGATACATACGAAAGACGTGTGCATTGTGGGTGGGGAGGGGGAGGGAAGATAGATTATGTGAGCTGGGTGGGGCATGTGGAGGATGGGAGGGAGCTGTCTATAGGGTAGGGGAAGGTTGGGTGCGGGGCCACGGATGTATGTGGAAGGTGGGGGTGTGTGGTATAGGGAAGATGTGTTGGTAAAAGAAATGTGCTGTGTGTGGAAAGCTGTTGAAAAGCGAGGGAAGATCGGCTGTTGTATGCGCGGAAGGATGTGTGCGTGAGGTAAGGGAGTGACCTCCGCTAGCGGCGCGTGCGCGTGTGTGTTGTGTCTGTGAGCAGTTTGACGTTTGTTGTGTGGCTGGTGTGTGCCGTGTGTGCGTGTGTGCGTTCGTTGTGTGATGTGTGTTGTGCTGTGTGCGTGTGTTGTGCGCGCTGGTGCGTGGCGTGCGTCGCGTGTGCGCTGTGTGTGTGTGAGAGAGAGAGAATAGAGAGGCCGTGTGCGCGTTTGTGTATGTGTGTCGTGTGTCTGTGTGTGTGTGTGGTGTGGGGTGGGGTTGTGTCGTGTGTGTGTGGGACGCGGGGTAGGCAGAGAGATGTACGCCGATGTGTTTGCATGGCTGGTAAACGACGGACGGAGACACGACAGAATGTCAGGACACATTGTCACGTACACAAGAACATTAAGTTTACCTGATCTCTGATTGCCGCAGAATACAAAGAGAAAAGCAATTAATATCATCATATCACACACACAGCACACACAAGCAAAACACAAGACTGAAACAACAACATCGCTGCCTAAAGTCACTTGACTAGCTCTGACCAACCACAGCGAGGATAGGACTGTTGTGCTTGTTATACACTGGGTGGACTGAAACGTCATCAACGCTAACTAACAAGACAACAAAAGAGAAAGAATGCAAGAGAGGGAGAGAGGAGATAGAAAGCGAGTAAAGAGAAAAGAGAGAGAGACGAGAGAGAGAGAGAGAGAACGAGAGAAAGAGAGGAGAAAAAGAAGAGAGAGGATGCGCGTAGGATAACGGGAGACGAGAAAAGCAGAGGGAGTGGCGTGAGAGCAAGAGAGCAGAGTAGATCGCGAAAAGGGAGACAGAGCGAGAAGAGAGAGACAGAGAGAGAGGAGAGAGAAAGAGAAGAAGAGAGGAGAAGATGAGAGAGAGAGAGCAGAGGAGAGGAGCAGCGGCGAAAGAACAGAAGAGAGAGAGAGCTAGGAGAGAGATGATGAGAGAGAGAGTGAGATGAGACGAGATGACAGATAGTAGTGACGAGATGGTGCGAACAAGCAACTGCAGAATTAAACTCGAATACTCGCGAATTTCGTACGAAATGCGATATTACGATGTTATATCAGCATCAGTAGGGTCGCCGCCTAGTGTCTCGGCTAATACTATCTACTATCTAACGTTGTAATGAGGCTTACTCGCACGCTAACAACGTTGCCTCCGGTTACCCGGAACATCGCATGCCAATGCAATTAAATCATTATCAATGTGTTTGCATTACACAACACATAAATATACTACAGCTGGTCACGCTCCATGCATCAACAAACATCGTGCGTCACCGCTGCTGTGCTGCCTGCTGGCCTCATCTGCTGCTGCTGGCTGCTGCTTGCGTGGCTGCTGCTGCTGCTGCTATACTGACTAACTGGCTGCTGCCGCTGCTGTTGCTCATCTGCTGCTGCCTGGCGCATATCTAATTGATCAATCGTGACAACAGTGCTGAGCGTCAAGAAGCGCGCACGCTTTGTGCGCTGATCAATCACGTGACTTATCATATCGACATTATATATACTTAATATATAGTTTGTTTGCTATTTTTGATCTTCATGAACGACGAGCTGGCCATATGCCAGCCATCATCGCAAATCGTCATAGTGATGCCTCAGTCTGCATGGTAAAGCAACGCTGCGAGTTGGCTATAAGAAAACAACGCCGCGTATGTGTCTCAGGCAAGCAGCTTCTTCTGCCAGTCTTAATTGATATTATTGCTTCTCCCAGTGCACGCAGCAAACAACCTGTTGCTGGTTTGTATCATAGTGTCGTGTTTGTTGTGCGTGGGCGTCGCGCGCGTGTGTGTGCGTGTGTGTGTGTGTGTGTGTGGTGGCTGTGTGTGTGTGTGCTGTGTTGTGTGTGTGGGTGCTGCAGTGTTGTGTGTGTGTGTGTGAGCGCGGCGTCGCTGCGTGCGTGCGTGCGTGCGTGCGTGCGTGCGTGTCCCCTCATCTCTTTTGATATCTCTCTCGCTCTATCTATCGCTCTCTCCGCCCTCTTCTCTATCTATCGCTCTCTCCCCTCTCATCTATCGCTCTCTCCCTCTTCTCTATCTATTCGCTCTCTCCCTTTCTCTCTATCTATCGCTCTCCTCCCCTCTCTCTCTATCTATCGCTCTCTCCCCCTCTCTCTATCTGTCTTCTCTCCTCACCGCCTCTTACCTCTTTACTCCTCTTTCCCACAACCCCTCTATCTCTTGCGTCTCTATCTTCTCTCTCGGCCCCCCGTCTCCACTCTTTCTCCTTTTCTCTTCCTCTCTGCCTTATCTCCCATCTGGACTGCAATCTCTCGGCCCTTCCCACTGCTTTCTTTCTCTCTCTCCCTCTCTCGTAGTTCGTTTTTTTTCCCCGCGAGTACTGCTAGTGATATATAATAGGGAGTCCGGGTTAGGATAACAGTCCATGAGCCCCGCGCTTCACAAGTACATGCTAATTGATGGATCATGGTGGCCAGAAACGAAAACGAAACAGGGTCGATTGTGGGCGGGCCTGTGCATTATACGTGCGTACAATTAGATACATGTGGTGGTGCGTCGGTGTGCGTGCCGTGGGTGGCTGTTTTTGATCATGAATAATAGCTTGTATTTAGTTGACATATTATATATTATTATAGTATCATTATTATTATTTTATATATTATTATGTTATTGCCCGGTAAATATAACCCATAAACACAGCCGATTATGTTGGATCGGAATACTTGATACATCAAATACTTACCACCGAATGCCCATCTCACTTGCCACCCGCACTCCCCGCAGGAATCGTGATTGTTCGGTCCGAACTTCCGATTGAGCTTGCAGATAGGCGTATCAAAGATTACAGCGAAGGTCCCCGCCATGCTAATGTGATGCTTGTCTGTGAAGGTTAATGCGCCGAAGCAATTCCTCGTGATGTGAAATTTTTTGCGCGGCGACAACAAAGTGCATATAATTAGCTCTTCAATTAATCGTCGACACCTGAGGCGGTAAACGTGGCGCTTACCATATACTTAGCATGGTTAGTAACTACCATCACTATATAATTACAACTAACATGTAAGTATAGTCTACCCACATATTACCAACTACATGCGCTAGCAATTATATACAAATACATGCTGTTAGTATATTATATACAATATATGCTAGTCAATTATATATACAACCCACATTTATAATTATATATACGAACTAATATGCTAGCTAGCTAACTCTCTAAACAACTACATGCAAGTCGTATATATGCAAATGCATGTTAGTTATTTAAATATACAACTACATACTAGTCCATTATAATACAGCATACATGGCTAGCGACTATAGTAAAACCTAAATGACATCACACGGAACTACAAACGCTAATATAGCTTAGCTAAGGCTAAGAGGTATCGACAGCGCTTCGATAGAAACAAAATATACGTGGCACATAGGCCTATCTAATGTACAACTACATGTACGCCATACGACTACGGCTACCGACTTAAAGGCCGCGGCCCTACATATATAATCTATAATATATATATATATATATATATATATATATATATATATATATATATACTTGATATTGTATCATACTATATACACATATTCCTAAATATTAGAGAGTTCAGTCGATATTACAGCCCATGTCGTGGCCAAGATAAATGACGTAACTTCCGGCGATAATGGCGGATACATAAAATTGCGAGACACGTGCGCGAGAAGATATTTGCAAAATGCAATTTCCATACGGGCCGAGAGCGGAGAGAGCGAGAGACAAGAGAGAGGAAAGAGAGAAGCAGCGCGAGAGAAGAAAGAGGAGAGAGAAAGATGAGGAGCGAAAGCCGAAAAGCGAAAGAAGAGAAGACGAGAGAGAGAGAGAGAGAGAGAAGAGGAGAGAGAGAAGAGAGAGAGAGATAGAGATGGAGGAGAGAAAGAGAGAGAGAAGAGAAGAGAGAAAAAAAGAGAGAGAGAGAAAGAGAAAGAGCGAGAGAGCGATCGAGAAGAGGGAACCGATGAGGAGAACAGAGAAGAGAGAGAAGAGAGAAGAGAATAAGAGAGGAGAGGAGAATGAAGAAGAGAGAGAAAGCATGAGAAAAAGAGGGAGAGAGAGAGAGAATACGAGCGGAGAGAGACTGCGAGAGACAGAGAGATGATTGAACGAGAAAGAGATGGAGAGGAGAGAGAGAGGGGGAGAGAGAAACAGAGAGGATGCTTGGGGAATAATCATTTTGCGGAAATAAGGCGCGGGAACCTTCTACTTATATGTGGCGGCCATTTCCGGCTGCGGCATCCTGAACTTAAATTACCTCGAACCAAGCTAAATTACGCAATTCAAGTGCAACTAGCGATTACGAAAACGTTTTCTCTCATTCATGGCAATTTTTTAGCCCGCCGCGCCACGACGACGCCAGCACGCCGAGTAGGCCGCTCTCAGTCCTCCTACCATCTCTCTCATTACACATACACACACACGCACGCAGCGCACGCACCCGCACACGCCAGCACACACCAGCACACACACAGCACACAAACGCGCGCGGCGCGCAACAACGAACACGCACGGCACTCACACGCACGCACACATACACGCACATACATACACACACACACGCACACACACGCACGCACGCACACATACACGCACATACATACACACGCACACGCGCAACACACACACGCACGCGCGCACAATGTATCTCGCCATATTCCGCCATGACTCTCTTTCTTCTCTCAGTCTCTGTCTATCTCGCCGCCTCTCCCTTTCGTTTCACCTCTCGTCTTTTCCATCTATTTCTCTTTATCCATCTGACAAATAATCCACTTGCTCTAATCAGAGGCAGTCGTGTTAGCGTCCGTTATTAGTGACTCGGCCATTTATGTCACCACCACCATGTTTTAGACATACTTGTAAATCTTGTGTATCATAACATTGATTAACTTCTATATACCCAACCTGTGATCTACGGTTTTATTCTGTGGGGCAACTTCATTTAATGGAGGCCTGACCTCTACAGCTTCGAGATTTTCAACAAAGCTTTCCCAGACCAATTGTATTCGAGAAAAACAAGGCAACAAAAACAAGGAAATTATGGCTGATATATAAGAAATCACTAAAAATAAAGCAGAATTAGTAATAGATTTAATAATTGCTTATTAACTTATTATATATAATTAATAGAGAGAAAGTCTTTAGAATCACACAGAAATGTTTTTTTTAATGAAGATAAATTATGCGCAAAGAAAGTATTTCAGTGTTCTGTGGTAGCCATATTGTAAATATGTAAATGAATTGTGATTTGACGTCTAATCACAATAATGTTTATGAGAATCGATTCCACGTGCCCACAAACTATTGTAGGACATTTGAAATCACTAAAATGTTACTCCAAAGTGGAGATATGATTGCAATGTATTTTGACATTTTATGCAACCATTTTGTATATATGCAAATGGAAAATTATCTAAACACATTAAATTTTTATATTAATAGAATCGTCATGCCTCAAAACCACATTCTAGCATTTAAAGCCACTAAAAAATGTTACTTAGAAGTCTAGATATGAACAAAGAGTGTATTTCAAGGCTCCATATAGCGGCCATTCTGTAAATATGCGAATGAAGTAATTATCTAATCACACTAATTTTATCATAATCGATGCATTGTGTCCCATACCATGGTGGAGCGTTTAAAACTACTCAAAATGCTTACTTAGAAGCTGAAATGTGACCAAAGAAATGTATTTCAAAATTTAATGGCGGCCATATTAAAAAAAAGACGCAACTCCCCTTTATAAGGCCAGTTCCACTGGGAGGTCAACCTCTTATTTTATTAAGTACCTCTCAAAGCACACGTGTGCCCGATTTAGTGCTTTTATCACACTATAGAAGCTCTCAACATATTCTGTCCCCCCTCTCTCTCACACATACACGTTTAAATCCCTCTTCTATTTTTTCTTCCGTTTTAGAAAGCTTTTCACCAGATCAAGGGCCTTCGTCAACATTTCCGCGACAACCGCGCACGCAAATCTGCTGGCGGAAACTCTCGTATTACGCGTAGGCCAGTCATGGTAATGTCACTGCTGAATAAATTGCACTCTTCCGCGCGTTGTTGGAAGTTGGAAGTTGGAAGCGCCCTCTGGTGAGGTGAAAAATCATCTGAGAGACGCAAAGGACGCGGCACAATATACGGAGGACTTAAAATCGCAGGAAGTCAATGTAGAGAGTGAGTAATATAATCCGGAGAGTAGCACGAGATGTAAAAGAGAGGAGGGAGAGGGGGCAAGGACAGAACCAGAAATACAGCTAAATAAAGCGAGAGAGCGAAAGAACAAAGAAGAGAGGGAGATAGAAGAGAGAGAGAGAGAGAGAGAGAGAGAGAGAGAGAGAGAGAGAGAGAGAGAGAGAGAGATAGAGAGATAGATAGAGAACGCGCGAGGAAGAGGGAGAGAGATTGGGGAGAG